AAAATACCTGACCAGTCCTTCTCAAAACTGTCAAGGTCATTCAAAACAAAGAAAGCCTGAGAAATGATCACAGCCAAGAGAGGCCTGAGGCAACACGAGAACGAAATGTAATGTATCCTGGATGGAATCTCGGAACAGAAAAAGGACATCACATAAAAACTTCAAAAATCTGAATAAAGCATGGACTTTAGTTTTTTTAAAAATCAGAATAAACATACTCTCCAGAGAAAAGATGATGATTGTTAAGTATATGGCTGTGGCTAGACACATATTAATTCCATATCTCACCAAGTATTTTATGTTAAGAATGCTGTATTACAAAACCAACCAGCACTACAATGCAGAAAGTGAAAAACAGTTCCTTTCCATACAAGATAGATTCTCTGATAATAAATACTCCAGTGGTATTTCAAATATCAAAAGGACTGAAAAATAGATCCAGGCTGGGGTTTGAGACCCTCCTCAGTATATGCAGCGCCCCAAATTTCTAAACTTTCTTTATGTTTGTTGCTATTTCTCTTTATATCCAACTGCTTTGGTGACTTTATTTACATTCATTGCTTTAGCTATTGCTTCCCTGCCACTGCCTCTCAGATTTACATTTCTCAGCTTTTCTTGTGCTTCAGATTTCCAGTTACACTCTAGAACAGACGCCCTGCTGAACACGTACAGATCAGAACCTAGTATCTCCTGCCAAAAACCTGTCCGTCCCTCCACTTTTCTTACCGTCAGAAGTGTGGCCACTCTCTCTCCTGCAGGCTCCAAAGCATAACGTCATCTGCAGTAGAACTTGTCTCTCATTCCAGTTTCCACTGATTTCCAATCCCCATCCACTCTACGTTAGAATTTCTTAAATATACCCTGACCTTTCCAAGTCCTATCCCAGTTTCTAAATCTGAGATCTTACTGTCTCTGCAAAATCTCCTGATCAGTCTCCCTACTTTTAATCCTTTCCCTTCACTAAACCATCTTCCTCCCCACAGCCACAGTCATCCTCTGAAAACACAGATCTTTTCCCTGCCAGCACCACACAGATCAAATTCCTTAGCAATGCAACAGAGGCCCTTCACATCTGTTCCAACCTCGTCTTCTGGTCCATCTCCCTCAACGTAACACCCCCCGCTCCCACTTCCTCTCAGTGTCCCCAGCCCTTGTGGGTCCCTGAGACTCCACACACTTTCAGAGCTGTGTGTCCTAACACGCTGCTCATGCTGTGGAATGCTCTTCCCCCCAAAACCTGCTTGAGAAATCATCGTTGCAAACCAAGTGACCACTTGTGACACCTTCCTACAGCCTTGTATTCAGAATTGATCACTTCCTTTTCTGTTCTTTCAGAATATTTTATTCCTGCCCTTCATACTGCTTCCATTGTACCTTATATTACAAACATGTATACCCTTCTTATTCAGAAATGGTCCTTGGACCTGTAACATTTTCATATACTAAAAGCTTGTCAGACATGAAAAATGTCAGTCCCCAACTTGGACCTTACCAGGTGAAATTTGTCAATAACAAAACCCCCAGGTGATCTGTACGCACACGTTAGTTTGAGAAACGCTGCTCTACACCTCCGTCCTGTAGTTCCTTGAAAGATCCCACTCACACCTATAATGCTCTCTCTCCACCCATACCATTTTCAGTGTCCTCCACATAGCTCGTGTTTAATAACTGTGTGTTAAATAAAACGTGCGTGTTTAGTGTCAATTATAAAATATTCTGATACCTGACTATAATGTCCTCTTCATAATCCTTGTTATGAGGCTGATGCTTTAAATTGGGTTCTTTTACTACCTGAGTACTTGACATGAGTTTTTGGATAGACACTCCTTATCCCAAATTCCACAGAACGGCACAGGAGGTTTTGGTGTGTAATTAGCACTGTGACACTTCATTTAACCAAATATTATTCCTTCTTCCTGTTTTATTGAAAGTCATTTTGCATGACTTCTTTAGAATGCAGTGAATAAAACCTAATCATATCTGGTTTAACATTGTATAATAATGCACTGGGGACTGTGAGCGATCTGAGAGAGAGGTGGGAGTCATTGATTTAAAATTTATTCTAAGAATAATTCCACACTAATTCAGCACAGATGAGAAATAAAGCTTGAGAAAATATAGTTCACTAACATGAGAAAAAGAATCAGTTCTCTCAATGGCTTACTACTTAATGCCACAAGCATTTTAGGATTACACATCTCCTATTCATAAAGCATTATTTCCAACAATCTTTGGAGATTTACTTAAACCAATCATAGTATTTCTGTGAGACGTTTATGAAACAAGTCTTATCTTCCCCTTTCAAACCAAGCAATAGATAATCTAATGAGCTTGTTCAAGGTCATTCCCAAAAGCAGATGCCAAAAGACAGTGAAGCATAAAACTCAGATCTCCTAGTAATAATGATACCAATATTGGGGGCATATGATGAAAGTTAAACGAGTTAGTATTTGCAAAGTACTTAGGACAGTGCCTAGTACTCGGTAAACTTTACATGAGTGCTTGCTGTTAATGAATAGACAGGTGGGGCCACGTCGATACAGGCAGATAAATCTGAGATCTCGATGATAAACTCTCTAGAAACATAGTGTGACATCTTCTGTGTGTCTTGCAGCCTATTATTTAAGGCTTTAGAATAGAATGATACAAATGCAATTCAAAAGACACAGACAACAACCTTTTCTCTCAAAGCTGCACCACCCCCTCATGTTTCTTTAACAGACCTTCTTACCACAGGAAGAGAAAAATGTGAACTCAACAGACACCCATTGCTGGTTTTGATCTAAGGGGAAGAGAAGACTGCATCAGCAGAAGGCTGCAGCTAACATTCATGCACATTATCTAGCACTGGGGTTGACAGGTTTCTCTCATTGGCAGTACAAGTGCATTTGCTAGAATACGTGACATCTTAAGCCCTGAAACTAATGATGAAGGAAAGTACATTTTCACGAGTGAGTGGCAACAAGCCCCAAGCAGTGGGTGTGACTTGACTAGCGAGGCCAATCCTAAAGTGGGTGCTTCAGGTAAGGAGGGACCTGGGTACCAGGTAAGTAGGGCTAGTGCCTAAAACAAGTTTCATCTACTTTACAATTTCCTTAAAATTGGCCCTGCTCCCAGAAGCCAAAGGGGTATCAGAAGTGTCTCCTGAGGCTAATAATTCTGTCATCTATGAGATGAAGAATATTTAAGCCGACGTGAAACTGTGCCAAGTACTATTAAAGTGTACTGCTCCTACACATCTAAGGAGCATATTTCATTCCACGTATTTTAACAGAATTCTGCAAAACCATAGTTTCCTCTAATCTCCTAACATTAGTTTTGCACCTCTCCAGAGACGCTTGAGACATAATTTGCTGTTTTTTTCCTCTAATTATGCACTACTCAAAATCTGTACAGCAATCTCATTTCTTTCATTTTGATTGTCCTTATTTAAAATCATTTTCTTTATTTCATTAACATTGTTAGTTTAAAGATTTATATGTATATTTTGTTATGTGTTGATGCTTTAATTTCTATCAAATTGATTCCCAAGAAAAATATTACTGGCCTAAAAATATAAGTATTTTAAATGTTGCAGATTTCCCACATTGTTTTCCACAAGACGGCTACAATATTTCACATTTCCACAAACAATGTATGAGAGCTTCTTTTCCCAGAATTCCCACCAGCAGTAGGTGGTATCACCAATTTTGAGTTTTGCCAGTCCTGTGAATGTAAAATGGTATGCTATACTTCAAATCATCTTTCTGTAATTTTTAAAAAGAATTTTCATAATCTTTTCTTCATTGTTTTGGCTTTTGGGTGTGAAACTATAAACTGCTTATTCATATTTTTTATACAAAAAAGATCTACAAATTAAAAATTGTTTAAAAGACACTATTTGGAAAAATAAAAATATTTCTAAATTGCTGTGTAAGTAAAACTTCCTTCTTGACTAAAAAATGTAAATGATGTGACATTTCTAACCTCATCAGATTAAAAAAATATGGTAACATCTAATATTGAGGATCCATGGAGAACTAGCTCTGCTGATAAAAGTAAAAATAGGAACCATCCTTCTGTAGAGGAATGTGGTAGGAGGAACCACAGTTTTAATATTTCATCCATTCACATAATAATTCAGCATTACACTCAAATCTAAAAAAAAACAATATAAATGACTATGATAGTCAGGTTGTGTTTTATATTCATAAGTTGAAAATATTCTAAATACCTGTCAAGAAGAACTTGGTTAAAAAACTATGGTACACCAATACAATAAAATACTAAGATGGATGAAGCAAATATTTTTTCATACACTTTCAAGAAACTAGTATGAGATTGTGGTTTAAGTCTCAGGTTTGGAGAGAGACAGTTCTTGGGTCAAACTTCAGCTCCACTACTTATGAGATTGCAACTGTTCAGTTTCTCACCTGCGAAGTAGAAAGAGCAACCTTGTGGTCTAGGAGTGAGAATTCAATAAGTTAATGTACATAAAGTATACAGCACAGTGCATTTAGTTAGTGATCAAAAAAGGCTAACTTAAAACTATAGATTTTAGCAGGTTATTACAATTCTTAAAAACTACATTGAGATGACAAGTCTTTGATCGTAGTCTTTATTTTTATCAAAATATTAACATTTTATCTATTAAAACTTGGGGGGTAAACTATTATGAAAAGAGGCAGGAGGCAAAAGGGCAGGATGTAAGTGTGTGTGCATGTGTGTGTGTGTGCGTGTGTGCGTGTGCGTGTGTTATGCTTAGAGAGATGCCTGGAAACATGCCCAATATTGTTAACTGCAGTATCTCTGGATGGTGGAATTTGGAGTGACTTTCAAATTCACCTTTGTATCTGCAAATATTTGATTCCATATTTCACCATAAACATATAACATCTTTGTAAGTGGGAAAACTATGTTCTAGAAAATGTAGTTAGAATATGCATCCAAATAAATATTATTCTTTAAGAAGAGCAGACACTGAGCCTTTTCAAACATTGTATACCTTTCAAAGGGTTGTGAGATGCCAGTCAACTGCTATACAGAAATGAAAATACATATTAAATCAACCTAGATCATAATCATTTTAAAATTCAAAATGTCTCTGATGTAAATTGATGTAAAATACTCCGTGTGACGAAGTAATAGGATTTCTCTCCATAAGACAAGAAACAAAATCAGTCTCAGCATGCTGTAGTCACGCTGTGCACAGTTATGAGTTAGAGACTCCAGGCAGCACAAAATCAGATCTTCCTGATAAATCTTAATATGCTATTTCTCCAAAAATGGACAAATAATGAACAGGCATTCTTGAGCAAACAAACCAATGAAAAGGCAAACACTCACTCTTCTTGACACTGGCTCTCTCGGATGAGCCTTCAGATTACCGTGGAATGCGCCTGCCACTCTGGCATTCCCAGCATTCCTACTACGATGCAAGTACCAATTTCCAGCAGAAACTTAATCTGCTTTCTACTACAGCTGTGAGCTTGCATTTCCGTGCCCTGCTTCCAGAGAACAACGATAATTTTGTGAGTGCATTATTTTCAATAGCAGAGCGTTGGAAATATCATAAACACCTAATGATGTGGGAAAGATGAAAGACATGAAATTAAGTCAATATTAAATAATCCAGGTAATATAATTTCATGTAGCCCTTGAAATAACGTTTACAAAGTTTTTATGACATGTATTTCTGACACAACGGTATGCTAGAAAAAAGCCAGAAAATTGTATGAAATGTATTTAAAAAAAAAAACTTGTAAAGAAATATGTCCCAAATTAACTGTCTTTGTTGGTGGCATTTTAGGTAATCTCTCCCATTTTTTATTAGTGTTTGTATACATTTTCCATTTGGAATAGATCTTAAATATCATCTAATCCATAAATCTTCATCTCCTGTAAAATGGGAGGAATCTGAAGAAATTAAGTAATTGAGTCATGATTTCACATAGACATTGCAACCCAAGCCAATATTCCTCTTTCCCATGGTACCATCTTGCTTTCCCTGGGAGCATATAGACATCATTTGGGATAAATCATCTGTCCATATTTTCACCTGGATCCCACAGTCTTCAAGCAAGCCACACTTCCAAAGACAGTTTAAATTCAGCTGCTCGTTGCTATTCATTTTAAATGGGATCACTGGTCTTGACTGTAAAGAATTAGGCCAACATGTTCCAAGGGTTTGCATGTCAACTCACAATTAATGGCTTTCACATCTATGTAAATTTAGGAGGGGGGCTTCTCACCAACGTGGAAGATTGATTCAGGAACTTAGTGAGGTGAATGGGAAATTGTTTGGCCACTAACTGCTTAAAAAGCAAACAGGCAGAATTCCTCTCCGCTTCCGGAAGAAACACTGAAAATCCGTGACCAAGAGATCCCTAGGACCACAGTTTTCAACAAGTAGCCCAGGACAACACATTAGCATTACCTGGGGACTTGTTACTTCTCAACTCGACGCCCCATTCTTACTGAGTCAGATCAGCTGAGAGCAGGGCTCAGCAATCTGTGATTTCACAAACCGTTCAGACGATTCTGCTGCATACTAAGCTTGAGAACCAAAGTCCTAGCGGATCTGCAGATACTATGGTTGAGCCCTACCAAAACTGTATTCCTTAAGTAAACATTCAGGGAAGGACTCCCTTTACCTTCTGGTAGGTACAAACTACAGAGCTAGCAACTAGAGAAGCAGGGCCCCCCTGAGAGTCATCTCTGCCCTCTACAGCCCTTCATCACTTGTTTGGTCATTCTGATAACGAGATGGAATGCTAACCAGATTTTTTAAATTCCAAGAGTTCCCTGCTCTAAATAGACCATTTTGTTGCATAGATGATGAGATTCACATATGACTTTCATGTTTTTCCTTAGAGAAAGAGCTGAAATGGGTTCTTGTTATTAAAGGTTATTATTAACTTATTGGCAGAATTCTTCCTTCTTTGAAAACAGAGGCCACTGGCTTGACCAACTCTAAACACGGTTACAGAGAACTTTTGCTAGGGGCAGTGGGCATGTGAGTTCTGTTCTTCAGTTGGTTTTGCTCAAATACGAGGCCTGGACACATTTCACTCAGCTCTACCATACAGCTATTTCCTATCAAGCACTCACTAGTTTTTCTATAAGCTTCAAAGAAGTAAATGATGCTTGAATATCTGAAGGAAAGATTCAGCTTTTTTATTAGGAGATTTGCAGGTTTATTTTTCCAACAGCTTATTCATTTAATTGGGTACCTGCAATTGCAGATATGTGCAAGGCATAGTCTTATGCAGAATAACGAATAAATAGAGGAATAAAACACTCCCTGCTCTGCAAGAAGTTTATCATGTAGAAGGGGGGATGAGAAGAACACACAAAAATTATAAAAAATATAATGCAAGCATATTCTTGGCATCAGAGGTGTATGAATAATGTATGATGAGGCCTTAGGTAACTTGTTTACCATTTCTAGTTTGAGGAGAATTTATAGGTGAATTTATGTATCAATTTGAATTTTAAGAACTAGCAGAAAGGAGGGAATTCTAGGAGACAAAAACCTCAATAGAGCTGCAAAGTAGAAAGCTTTGAAATATGATCAGGTAAAGGTGAGCTGACCCATC